TGTACAAATGGCAAATGGGCATATGAAAAGGTGCTCAACATCATTGATCATCAGAGAAATGCAAATCAAAACTACAATGAGATATCATCTCACCCCAGTTAAAATGGCTTATATCCAAAAAACAGGCAGTAACAAATGCTGGCAAGGATGTGGAGAAAAGGGAACCGTTGTACATTGTTGATGGGAATGTAAATTAGTACAACCACCATGGAGAACAGTTTGGAGGTTCCTCAAAAAACTAAAAATCAAGCTACCATAGGATCCAGCAATCCCACTGCTGAGTATATACCCAAAAGAAAGGAAATCAGTATATTGAAGAGATATCTGTACTCCCGTGTTTATTACAGCACTGTTTACAATAGCTAAGATTTGGAAGCAATGTAAATGTCCATCAATAGATGACTGGATAAAGGAAATGTGGTACATACAAACAATGGAGTACTATTTAGCCATAAAAAAAATGAGATCCAGTCATTTGCAGCAACATGGATGGAACTGGAGATCGTTATGTTAAGTGAAATAATCCAGGGTCAGAAAGACAAAAATCCCATGTTCTCACTTATTTGTGGGATCTAACAATTAAAACAGTTAAACTCATGGAGAGAGACAGTAGAAGGATGGTTACTAGAGGCTGGGAAGGGTAGGTGGCGGGGGTGGGGAGGATGTTAATGAGTACAAAAAAAAAATAGAATAAGACCTTCTATTTGATAACATAATTGTACATTTAAAAATAACTAAAAGAGTATAATTGGATTGTCAGTAACACAAAGGATAAATGCTTGAGGAGATGGATACTCCAATCTCCATGATGTGATTATTATGCATTACATATCAAAACATCTCATGTACCCTGTAAATATATACACCTCCTATGTACCCACAAAAATTAAAAATTAAAAAACAAAATGTGTTCACTGTCATTTTGTTTGTCCTTTAGAAGTCTTCTCCCAAACTAGTTTTATAATCTTCCAACTCTTCCCATTCTTGCTGACTCCAAAAGTAAACACAGGACCATTTTATTGTCGTCATTATTATGAATTAAAAGAGGATAATGAAAATAATATCCATAAAATCTAAGTTAATAAATCTTGGTTTCCAGTTTCGTTTCTGAATTTTCTTGCTAAAAGATTTATTAGAAAAATGATGATGAGGCCGGGCGCGGTGGCTCAAGCCTGTAATCCCAGCACTTTGGGAGGCCGAGACGGGCGGATCACGAGGTCAGGAGATCGAGACCATCCTGGCTAACACGGTGAAACCCCGTCTCTACTAAAAAATACAAAAAACTAGCCGGGCGAGGTGGCGGGCGCCTGTAGACCCAGCTACTCGGCAGGATGAGGCAGGAGAATGGCGTAAACCCGGGAGGCGGAGCTTGCAGTGAGCTGAGATCCGGCCACTGCACCCCAGCCTGGGCGACAGAGCCAGACTCCGTCTCAAAAAAAAAAACAAAACAAAATGATGATGAGGTGGTAGCTTTCATCCAAACTCCCGTCTTCCAGGTAGGTCAGCCAATTTAAATCTAGATGTAATCTCAAGACCTACTAAAACTGTATGTAGTATTTCCACTCCTCAGGAATTCCAGCTGGGGAGGTATGTATCTCACTGGGTCCTTGCCCCAAAAAGTTCCCTCTGAGTTTATTCTTACAACTTGAAATAAAGATTTTTTTAAAAAAAATACCACTTTGGGAGGCCGAGACGGGCGGATCACGAGGTCAGATCGAGACCATCCTGGCTAACGCGGTGAAACCCCGTCTCTACTAAAAAATACAAAAAACTAGGGGGCGCGGTGGCGGCGCTGTGATCCCAGCCTTGGGAGGCTGAGGCAGGAGAATGGCGTGAACCCGGGAGGCGGAGCTTGCAGTGAGCTGAGATCGGCCACTGCCTCCAGCCTGGGGCGACAAAGCGAGACTCCGTCTCAAAAAAAAAAAAAAAAAAAAAAAAAAAAAAAAAAAAAAAAAAAAAAAAAAAAAAAAAAAAAAAAAAAAAAATACTATTTGGCCTGATTTACACTAGGATTTGTGGCCATTTATAAGAACAAAAGAAAAACAAGTAGATAAAAATCAAACTCTGGAAAAATACAAAAAAGATCAAGAATAAGAAATTAGATTAAAATAGAAAAAGAGTAACCACCAGGCTCCGTGGCTCACACCTATAATCCCAAAAACTTTAGGAGGCCAACGCAAGAGAATGGCTTGAGCCCAGGATTTCAAGACCAGCCAGGGAAATGTTGGGAAACCCAATATTTATAAAAAATACAAGAAGAAGAAGAAAAAATTATATTTCACAATTTATTATTTGTCATGATGTGAAGCTTGAATCTTTATATTAAATCTTTTTCCTTTGACAGAAAAATACTAAAACATTAGAATACAGATAAGCAGACAACCAAGCCCACATAATTATTAAAACTGAACTCAATTTTTTTTTTTTTTTTTGAGACGGAGTCTCGCTCTGTCACCCAGGCTGGAGTGCCGGGGTAGGATCTCTGCTCACTGCCACCTCCAGCTCCTGGTTTCAAGCAATTCTCCTGCCTTAGTCTCCCAAGTAGCTGGGATTACAGGCGCCCGCCACTATGACCGGCTAATTTTTTGTATTTTTAGTAGAGACGGGGTTTCACCATATTGGCCAGGCTGGTCTTGAACCAGCCTGACCTCAGGTGATCTGCCCACCTCGGCCTCCCAAAGTGCTGGGATTATAGGTGTGAGCCACCGCACCCAGCCTGAACCCAATTTTAATAGGAGATTTCTCACAACTACAGCAGAAATTTCGGGCAATTCATAATCTGCTTTGTCCATAAGGAAAAGGCAATTTCTCAGGTGAAGCAAAGCTTTCTGAAATAAATCTGAATAAAATTTCTTTTGGACTGATGTAATATGCTGCTTCATCTACAAAAATGACATAGCAGACCTCATTCAGTTGTGTGATTTTAAAAAATTAGTGCAGGAAAATGATAAATTATCTCACTTTACATGGCTTAAAGTCTTAAACTTTTGAAAATTCAAGCTAGAGTAAATAAAACAAGAGTTGGCTAAAACTACTGGTGACACCCAACGTTATCAGCTTCAAACATCAAGATGAGGCCCTAACATTTTCAATGTGGACTTGTAGTAGATACTTAAGCCTAGGTGAATTTTCTAGAAACAAATGGGTAACAAGCACTCTCTCGTATCTCATACATGTTTTTATTATTATAGTTACAGCACTGTAATTTACAGTCTCTAAGATGTGCATTCCACATCTTATTGAGTATGTATTCAATAAGTGTTCACCGAATACTCAGTAAGTGTTCACTGAATTAAATAATACTGATGTAAATAAAACCAAAGTCAACAAAATGCTGTATTACAACAGTGAGAGAGCTATTACAGTCCATAACTCCCACCAACAGGGGAGACTAAGAATGTGAAACATGTCCCAGAGCACTGAAGCCTTCCAGATAGCTACTTGAGTTTTTCCATTGAAGTATTTAGTCTTATGGCATTTCATGTGCTCCAGAATTAGACCATTCCATAAAGACAGGAATATCTGCACTGGCTAAGCACAAAGCCTAATTCAGTTGACCTTTAAACATGTGGCGGTTAGAGACACCAACCCTCAAGCAGTCAGAAACTCGCATACAACTTTTGACTCCCCAAAACGTTTACTAAAAGCCTACTGTTGACCAGAAGCCTTACTGATAACATAAACAGTTGATTAACACATATTTTGTATATGTATTATATACTGTATTCTTCAATAAAGCTAGAGAAATTGTTAAATCATTAGGAAGGAAAAATATATTTACTATTCATTAAGTGGAAGTTGATCATCATAAAGGTCTTCATCCTCATAGTCTTCATATTGAGTAGGCTGAGGAAAAAGAGGAATGGTTGATTTTGCTGTCTTCAATGTGGCAGAGTTGGAAGAAAATCCATGTGTAAGTGCACCCACGCAGTTAAAACCTACGTTGTTCAAGGGTCAACTGCACATTACATACTTAACATTTAAATTATCTGGGCTGGTAGGGATGTGCATTCAGGAAATTAATAATTTTATTTTATTCTTATAAATGGCCACATATATCTAGTGTAAATCACGCCAAATAATATTTTAAAAACAAAAAACAAAAAACTTAAAAGTTGTAAGAATAAACCCCTGGGGGAACTTTCTGGGGCAAGGACCCAGTGAAATAGATACTTCCCCAACTGGAATTCCTGAGGAGTGGAAATAATACACACAGGTTTAGTGGGTCTTGAATTATCTTGTAATTCAAGGTAAAACTTCTCTGTGACAGTTTCCTAAAGCGAACTGGTTTTGATGAACATCATTCTGTATTACACATACTGCTGTCTTAGTAAATAGTCTACTAAACACAAGCTAAACTTTAGCTAATGACAGAGACATCATGAAGATGCTTTATCATGTTTTTAAAACGTCACCAGAGACTGATGTGCTGTTAAGTTCTATTTGTTCTTTCCCTTCCTAGTGATTCTACCATTATCCAGACTGAATCCCAGTGTCCCCTTTTCTAATTTTTTTCACAACTTTTGCTTTTTCCCCTTCTTCTTCACTTTTTTTTCCATCCCTGTCCTTCATTGCCTGTGATAGGAGTGGGGCTTACTTTTCATCACCGTCAGTAGCCAGGGAGGGCATTCTTTTCCTTCTGCTTTTGAAAGATGATCAGTAACAACATATATTCCGTAACCTTGTCTTTTTATTCTAATCAGTGATTTTTGTCATTGGTAACTGTTCTGGACTTCTTCAGTTTTTCCTACATTCTTTGTTCCAGACAACTGAAGGTGCCTGGAGATATACAGGAGAGGGTGAGTACTAAGAAGTCAAAGCGCTTTTTTACTATTACTTTCCTTATATACGCACTCACTTTTCTGTTTTCACTTAATTTTCAAAATACTGTGCGGAAACTTCTACTAATGACTTACTAAATAGCTCAGTTCCTACATCGAGTCCTTAAAAAGATTCTGGAAAAGAGGTAAGTTGCAGAGCAAAAAAGTATCTCAATCCACTTTTTTTTTTTTGCTGTAACAGAATACCTGAGACTGGGCAATTTGTAAAGAAAAGAGATTTATTTTGGCTCATGATTGCAAAGGCTAAGGAGTCGAAGATCAGGCAGGGCATCTGATGAGGGCCTCATGCTGCTTCAACTCATGGTGGAAAGCAGATGGTGAACTGAGGAGGGCAAAGAGAACAGAACACAAGAAGCATCCTCACTTTGTAACAACCCACTCTTGTGAGAATTCATCCATTCCTGCAAGAGTGAATCCATTCCAGAACTAACTGAGCCTCATGAGAAAGCCCTTAATCCATCGCAATGACCTCATCATCTCTTAAAGGCACCACCTACCAACACAATCAAACTGGGGACTCAGGCCTCAGCATGAATCTTGGTGAGGACAAACCATATCCAAACCATAGTAGGAAGTTTTAAAAAGCACGTGGGGAAAGCCTCAGTGGAAACAAAAACTTCTAGACCAGTTACCATTAATGCATATAATATGCAGAGGCTACATTCTTTTAGGCTATGAGGATCTTTAAAAGTTAATAAACATGCTATCAACGTAGAAAGGCTGAAGTTTCTCTTCCTTTTTAAATGTTTCGCTTTGTCTATTATCCACTATCGTTTTAGGAAAGCATTTAATAAAAATAAAACCTTTAACTATTTCTATTGTATAATACAAAAGGTTTTAAGATTATTCTTCTGCCTCAAAGTATATTCACTTTTTAAATACACACACACACACACACACATATATATATTTTTAATAGAGATAAGCTTTCACCATGTTGCCCAGGCTGGCCCTGGGCTCAAAATATCTGCCCGCTTCAGCCCAAAGTGCTGGGATTATTGGCATGAGCCATCGCACCCGGGATCTTCACTCTTACTTATAGCAAAGTAAAGTAATAAATGCTGGAAAACACCCAAGTTCTTTTTGTATGGAATTTGGCTAAAGGAACCCAGTGCTCAAACCACCTTGTAAGTTCATGAAACAGAGCAAAATATGTACCCTAAACCTAGGTTCTGAATCTTTCTGCATATTTTAACATCAGTTCTATTTATGGAATTTGCATTTGTTTTCCTGGTGTGGAAGAGTATTTGAGGTAGGGTGAAACAAAGGCAGGTTGAGATACCTGTGATTAATAAAAGTAAAACACTTTCAAACTAGTCGACTTAATTCATTTCTTCAATCTCATAGTGCACACCCACTAGGTTCTTTAATTATGGAAAGATGGTCTTTCTGCGTCCAGAGAAAACATCTGATATTATACTGAAAATTTAATGAAATCTATAAAACACTATTACTTTATGTCATCCAAGAGGGCATGAAAATAATTGTTACAAAAAATATTTTTGTATTTTTGTAATGGGATTTTACCTATAACAATAGTAAAAGCTCACATTTACTGAGTGACCAGTATGTGTCAGATAATTAAGAATTTTACATGGATTGACTTAATCCTCCCAACAACCCTATAAATTAGATGTGATTACCATTAGTCCTGTTTTATAGATGGAAAGTAAGCTTGGGTAATTTAAGCTCATTTCCATTCTACAACAGGATTCAAACATGAGGTGTCAGTTAGCATGTTTAATCTCCATGCTATACTGTGTTCCTGCCTATGTAGAAAGATGAGTATCTACCCACCTATGTAGAAATATGAGTATGCTCCATTCAGGTAAAATCCCATCTCCTGTCAGATTTTTCTCTCTTGCAGCTCATTTAAAATACATTCTGAAAGTATTTGATCATAGATGTAATGCCTTTAAAGTATAGTTTTTGACTTAAAAATTAAGTATTTTCCCTATTAACATTTTTAAATTTTTACTCTGTCCAAAAATGTATATATAAAACATTTGAAACATGTTAAAAACAGAATAAGACAAAAATATTGTGTTTTAAAGGAACATATCTGGTTAGTTGGTATTCCACTGAACGTATCTTATAACACACACAAATTTTAATTTTTCATTTAACAACACTAAAGAATGAGGTATATAAATGTTTTAATCACAGACTTTTACTGTATGCAATTGTATTTCACAACTAGCATCTTACAAAAAAGACAGTACCACTGTGCCTGTAAAAAGTACTGTAATTAAACAGAAAATTACATTACCACACGAAACCACAAAATATCACAACTGTTAGGGTCTACAGTTTTATTTTTTCTTCAAATGTTATCATGATGTCTTATGTGATATTTTGTATCCACATTCTATTTTTAAGTCCATTTACAATTCAGAAGTCTCCTATAGGTAGATATATATTAAGCAAATCGTTAAGAGAAAGCAGGAGACCCCAGGAGAATTTAAGTACTGTGTGGTTTCCAGGTTGAAATTCTAAATACTAAATAAAACACTTAATAGTCATAAACAAAAAGGCAAAATCTGTAGTCATAAAAATATTTTATTGGTAATTTTACATAGTATAAGTGGGGCTATACTTTTTTCCTTTCAGGATACTGAGAAATGTGTAAACTGGTAGTTGTGTCTGAAAACAGGGTACTATGATTTTCATAAGAATTGTTATATTTAGTAAGAGGCCAATCAGACTGATTTAAAATTAGCTATTTCCCATTTCTGTGCAACAATTCCCATTTCTGTTTTAATTAGATTCATGCATCTATGGCCCTGGATAAGTTTGGGACAAGAAAACAGTGATAAAACTATCATTAAGTTAAAGCTTTTCTAAATTGCAGCTTGTAAAATATGGCAAGTTTCTTTTCTCGTTTTTGCCAAATGCTTATAATTATTTGAATTTTAATGTTTTATATGATACAGAAAATACCAGTGTTCAATGACAATAGCACTAAACCTGAATTATAAAGCTAAATAATCAATGCTTTATTGTTTACTAGTCTGCTAGTAAACATTATAATAAATGAATGTTTTGAAAAATAAGCAAACAAAAAAACCTCAACAAATGGATAAAGCCAGAAACATAATTCAGGAACAATAATTAGTAAAACGTGTCAAAAACATTGGCAAAGGTTCATACAAATTCTTTATTTAATAACAATTTTCCTATTTAACCACACCAAGTACCAGCAGGTGTATTTAAGAGGATAACCATTAAGAAAAACCTGTTGCAGCAATAGTTAAGTTGATCTTTGACTTGTATACATATAACTATCTGTTTCACAATTTTCAAATAATACATATTTAGGCAGCTTGCACTATGTTATAAAAAATTTAAATTCGTTACATGCCAATAGTAGAGAATTCAAGAATTATGTGTTAGAATTCACTAAACTAAAAGTGAAAATACACTTACCAATAACACTGCATAATGAATAATTCAACCACATTTTCATGGCACTTAACTGCAGAGACCAAAATGTTAAGTCTGGAAATGTTTGGTAGGCATAGTTGCAATAAAATCTAACAAATTCTAACAAATTTCTATTTTATGTAAAACTCAAATTATGAATTGTGCATGAATGTATTTGTCATGAAAATGTGGTACCTCTTGGCATAATCTGTGTATTTGCATGGTAGGACAGAAGTGACTAAGAAACTGGAGAAAATAAACTTTAATGAGATTCTCCATTCAATGATGAGGCTTCTCCTCTGGGTGAAGATGACCTGGACATTCCTCTCTCTGTGTTATCAGAGCTAGAGCCGCTTTGACTGTGTTGATCTGCAGAAGCAGCACTAGATGCAGGTGGTGACTTTGTTTTCTCCTTAAAGTCTGTAATAATGACTGTCAGATCTCCAACGGTAACTTCCAAATGCTGAGCACTACTCCGATCCACATTTTTCAATCTTGGTCTAAACATAAAAAAAATGAAATTTTAAACTAGCTTTTCCCTCTACCAAATTTCTGAGTATATAATAAATACTAAAAGTAGGTGAAAGTAACAAAATGAATACACATATTTAAAGCAATTTATGTGTAACCAGCCACAAAAACATCGTAAAATGTTTCAACTCATTAACATTAATCAAACCAATCATTCATGAATATTCTTCAATGCGACCAAAAACTGTGACAGCCTAGAAGTAGAACTTGTGCTTCTATAGCTGTATCATAATTTTGCAGACAGCTTATTAATTTTATTAAAATAGATGTTTTAGACAACAATGAAATAGCTGCACCATGGAGGAAGGTGATAAAAACTAAGGTTGAGCTACATGCAAGGAAGATTGTTACTCCACTGACACACACTAATAAGGGTATCATGATTGTTCTGACTGAACACATGACCATTTTGATAGGTTAAAACCCATGCAATTATCTGTTCGGTATTTTGAAAACCACTCCTGGTTCAAACAGCTCTTCTTAAGGGGAAAACAAAACAAAACAAAACACCCAGACACAATGTCTTCCAATCTAGTACAAAGAAAAAAGCATCACCACATTTAAGCTTGTATTTGTGGCTTCTGTGTTTAATTTCCAATGTATCTTTCAAATTCAGTAAAACCTTTTCTGATACCTTAAAATAAAGGAAACCAAATATTTTACTTCCACTTTGTGTATATTAGTGTATCAATGGTTAAAAAATTAAATGGTTTCATTATTTCAAAAATGTCACAAAACACTCTTCAAATTTACCTGGTTTTCTTATGGCTATTCTTTTTGCTAGTTGTTTCCTTTTCATTTTTTTCTTTTTCTACTTTATCTTTTTTCTCTTTCTTTGACTGTGTAGGAGGCACAAACTGCTGAGTAACCTGCTGTGCAACCAACTGGGAGACAGGTCGAGGTTTCCTGTGTGCATGTTAAAAAGAAAGGTATTTTAAATTATAACTTAAAACATAAGTGCTTTGTGAGAGAATATCTCACATTATGAAAACAAATTAATAATACAATAACTTTCAAGTATATATCATTGTTTTTCCTGTTCAACAAAAACAGAACAAACTATAACAGTTAAAATTTATAGTCTAAGATATATGTTCAAACATTAGAATACTGTTACATAAATCAACATAAGAAATTATTTTAAATGTATATCAAACTAAATGGGATGTACCCATATAAACATGAATTCTAAAAATCAAACTTCAAAGTTTACACTGAAATAATAATTTATCCCTCCTCCTTCAGAGAAGGAAATACTTAACCATTTGTGACAATGGCTATCTGTTTTTTAAAGCTTTTCATTTATTCATTTAATAAACATTTATTATCAAAATTTCTCACTCCTTATTGCTTAAATCCTTTAAGTTTCTTACATCTCCAGCCACAATCTCACTATGCTCTTTTGACCCTGGAGATCTACCCAGTCTTTTGAGACTCATCTATTTGCTAACTTACTCATTTAGAAAGTATTTATTGAGAACCTACTGTAAGAACTATTCAGGGATATCTGAAATGTTGCCTGGCTTCAACATCTGATGCTGGTACAAGCTTTCACCTGTCCAGCTTTACCACAGAACTTGCACAACTGAGGTTAAGATTCAAAATACAGTCTCTAAGTTCTTGAGAGAGAAAGAAGGATACAGCAAGGAAAGAGGCAGAGGGAAGGAGGAAAGAAGTAAGATAAAAATACATTTTAACAGATGGCTCTACAAACAATAGTAACTTTATTGCATGAAAAATCCTGACCCTTTTTTGGTTAGTACAGTTTTATAAAAATCTTTTTTCCCCCTGTTCCTCTGCAGCAAGACAACATAAAAATAATGAGAAAATATTGTACAATCTAAGAATCAAAGCTGCCAGGCTGAGAGAAAATAGGAAACAGTATGTAAAGTAGGTTTCAGGAGATGGATAATGAATTTTGCTCAGGGCCTAGATAGTCTGAAGTACTGAAAGGATATCCAGGACAGATGTCCAATATACAACTTAAAAAATAGGACTAACATAGAGTTTGAGATGTAGATTAAGAGTTGCACAAATAAAAGTGATATTGACAGTATGGTAGTTAATGGCTAAGGTTAAAAAAAGAAAAGGGTTAAGGTGGCAGTTTTCAAATTTAAGGTACATCAGAATCACCTAAAAGGCTTAGCTTGCTTAGCCTACCCTCAGGGTTTCTGATTTAGTAGGCCTTGAAGTAGAGCCCAAGAAACTGTATTTCTAACTAGTTTCCAAGTTATGCTGAGGTCTCTGGGGACCACACTTTAAAAAGAAGCATGAAGAAGTGCAATATATCTGGTGAATACTGGTACTACTATAGGATAAAGTTTGAGATGGAGAGCAGAGTGGTAGAGAGAGTGAAAAAAAACCAAGTTGGATAGATAAGAAGGGATCCCACGATTAAAACCTAAGCAGTCTGATTTTATTCTTAAGTGATGAGAAGTCACTGAAGAAATTCAGACTTGAATTTTACAACAATTACTTGCATTAGTCTGAAATAGAAAGGTATTACACCACAGTAGAAGTAAAAATGTGAGACTAGTGGTCTAATAAGTGATCATGTAATCTCTGTACCTAGTGTTGTTTGTTGTTATTTTCTAACCATCAACAAATTTTCTGTAGTGGTTCTTTTTTTCTGTTCTTGAGTACATCGTTCTCTTTTCATCCTAGGCTTTCCTAAATGTATACTACACAACTATTCCACTTTTATTCTTACTTTAATGTGAAGGTTGATTTTCACTTAAAGATTACGATTTTGTACCTCAATTCTAGGATTATTTCATCTGGTTGAATTTTGAGAGAAAAGAAGCATAAAACATAAATGTAGTTTAATTTTTCAAATAAAGTTTATTATTCAAATATAGTTTAATTATTCAACTAAAGTTCTCTGCTGCTCTGTAGGGCTAAAGAGCTTTCACTGAAGGTAGGAGGAACACAGTTTATGATGATCTTTTTACAATGTCATAAGTCACTCAACTCCATGTCCTATTAAAAAGAAAGCCCTTCTATCTCCAGGTATCTTAAGGTTTATGATCCCTTTTCTATTTGATGAGAAAAATCAGGATAGGAGGAAATTTTAGAGGTAGGAAATAGTTAACTCAGGAAATAAAGGACAGAGTATCATTTATAAAATATACCTTTTTATGTTCACAGATTTATCATTCATGGTTTTGACAGTACACTTTTAGTAATGCCAAAGGATCCATGATGAGGAGTTGATGTGCACGAAATGGTTGCCTAGTTAATAAATGACTACTGACTAAGCCACTGGCCAACTACAGTCCATCATCTACTTATTAACATATGCCATGATTAGACTGTATTTGTCAGCTATGATATTCACCAATTTGGGGATCCCTATGTATCTTTCATAGACAGCCCAAATAGACTGTATAAAATTTGGCAGTCTATTCGTTTACTATAATGTAAGAAAAGGGGGAGCATTTCATTACTTATTAGGACAAAATATTTTTGGGGCTAGCTGACCTTCTGTGTGAGCAGGAGGTCAACACATGTTGGCTTCATATATGTAGTTTTCAACTATGGTCTGCCTTCCACACCCACTGACAAAAATCCCATGTGCTAAATATTATAGGAATAATATTTTAGGCTTGATCAACTTCATCATAATTGAGTTTTGTCATGTTGGACAGGTAAGATGTAAGAAAGGAAAGAAACAAAAAGAATATTAAAAACAAAGACTGATTCTTTACTAAAAAGAGATAGCATAACTCAAATTTCAGAAAGAAGTAATCTGCTTAGTAACAACCAAATATATGGCAAATTGAAGCAACGTGGTAAATCTCATTGAATAAAAAAGGCTGGACTAAATCCAAACCTACTGTGAATCTGCTGATACTCTGGCTAACAAAAGCCCAAAAATCTAACCAAGGAAAGATTTTATAAAAAACCACCTGTTTACGGCCAGGCGTGGTGGCTCACGCCTGTAATCCCAGCACTTTGTGAGGCCAAGGCAGGCAGATCATTTGAGTCCAAGAGTTCGAGGCCAGCCTGGGCAACATAGTGAAACTCCACCTCTACAAAAAAATACAGAAATTGGCCAAGCATAGTGGTACGTGCCTGTAGGAGGCTGAAGTGGAAAAATCGCTTGAACCCAGGAGGTGGAGGTTGCAGTGAGCCACGATCACACACACCACCGCATTCCAGCCTGGGTGACAGAGTGAGACCCTGTCTTCTGGAACAAAAAAAAGGAAAGAAACTACTTGTCCGACAGATTTTATTGCACATTTACATGTATCAGGCACTAGGTAAGGTGCTGGAGATTAACCATCAACAAGACAAACACAGGCCCTGCCCTCACGCACTAAAAATTAAAAACAAAAGAACTGTGTGTTGCGTTAGAGAAAACAGAAGGAGGAGTTATTATAGACAGAGAAGAAATAACTTCTGTCCATGTTTAATTGGTCAGTATACCAGGGGAAACAAACATCATAATGGACCCTTTTAATAAGAGAACAATGAAACAACTTCATTAAGCATTTTATTAAGACTTTAAAAGAGAGTAAACCCAATTTCTTATTCCATAATAACTTGGTTTTGAAGTTATCTAGACCTCGAATGGCCAAAAGGTATTTTTTTGTTTGTTTTTGTTTTTTTGAGACGGCATCTCACTCTGTCAGGCTGGAGTGCAGTGGCATGATCTCAGCTCACTGCAAGCTCCGCCTCCTGGGTTCATGCCATTCTCCTGCCTCAGCCTCCCGAGTAGCTGGGACTACAGGCAACCGCCACCACACCCGGCTAGTTTTTTGTGGGTTTTTTTTGTATTTTTAGTAGAGACAGGGTTTCACTGTGTTAGCCAGGATGGTCTCAATCTCCTGATCTTGTGATCTGCCCACCTCAGCCTCCCAAAGTGCTGGGATTGCAGGTGTGAGCCACCATGCCCGGCCAGGTTTTATTTTTTTTTTTCAAATGTAACTAACTCCTCATCAACTGTCAGGCCTAATCCTAGAAACATTCATCTTGTAAGTACTGATTATTGGTTTTAAATGCTATCTCTCTCTCTCTCTCTCTCTCTCTCTATGAATGAGACAGTCACCCAGGCTGGAGTGTGGTGGCATGATCTTGGCTCAATGCAACATCCGGCCTCCTAGCTTCAAGCGAATCTCCTACCTCAGCCTCCTGAGTAGCTGGGATTACAAGCGTGTGCCACCATGCCTGGCTAATTTTTTGTATTTTTAGGGGGTTTCACCCATGTTGGCCAGGTTGGTCTTGAACTCCCAGCCTCAGGTGATCTGCTTGCCTCGGCCTCCCAAAGCGCTGGGATTACAGGCATGAGCCATTGCGCCTGGCATCAAATACATTTCTAATAGGTTTTAGCTTTTCTTTACTTCTACCACTTCTTGCACTTGTATCATAGGACGCTTTACTTTTGAAACCCTTGACAACTCGTAATTTCTGGAAGAGACAGACATTCTCTCTGCTTCAAAATTACCATTTTCATTTGTAGATGAGGTACACACACCTACCTTCAGCATCAGTCCACTAGTGAACTATCTCAAGTAAATTTTTGTGTCAAATATAGAAGAAAAAGAATTTTGTCACACGTCTCTAAAGCAAAACAAGATGCTCCAAGTTCTTCTTGCAAAATATTGCATGATAAAATCCTTTCTGTTGAATGACTACTCATATGAGAAACCACATTTACTTTTTGTGCTCAGAAATATTTGTTCACTTATCAATTACTGAGTTTGAGAAAAATGATCAAGGATATTGTCATCTGACAACTCATGGTCTGAGATTTCCCTTATATGGTCAATTTCAACATCACTACAGTTTTGGGTGCCACTATCACTGGCTTTACACCATCCCCTGATTCATCTAATAACTGAAACATCTTGTAAACTTCCTGTCATTAGGAGCAGAAAATGAAAAATTCTCAATTCTCAAATGTG